TTTTACTCATTTTTTATTTATTTAACCCATTTATTTATTTATTTAATTTTGGCGCAAATGGCTCTCCATAGTTTTCTCATGGCATCATGAGGAAGAAAGAACAGGAAACAGCAACTGTCTTTATGTACACCTTTTATTATCAGCACTTGTCTGCTGGCACAGTCAGGTGGAGCAAAAAGAACCAGACTACTTCTTGGTCTCCTCCTCCTTGGACAGGCTCTTGATGAACTCCTCCTTCTTGGCCTGGAGGCGCTCCTCTCTGCGCTTGCGAGCCTCCTTCGTCTTGGTACGACGAGCCTCGGCCTGATCGCTGCGCAAAGATCAGAATCACCATCATTTTACTGATTTCTAAATTATTTCTTTGAATTAAAAGTGTTTAAAAATACCACAAACTAGTTAGAGACGATAATATTGTTCCATGTAAATCCTGAATACTTACGCCAGGAGCTTCTTGCGGGCCTTGTCGGCCTTCAGCTTGTGGATGTGCTCCATCAGGATGCGCTTGTTCTTGAAAACGTTACCCTTGGCCCTCAGGTAGAGGCTGTGGTACCTGAAGGAAATTCAAAAAGGGTCAAATAAAAAAGCATCAGGATGCAGAAGCTCATATCACATCATCCCAGTCGGCTTAAGACGACAAGCGAAAACGGCTCCAAGTCCCGGAAACCTACATGTGCCTGTCGATTTTTTTGGCCTCCCTGTAGCGACGCAGCAGACGACGCAGGATCCTCATGCGACGCATCCAGCAAAGCTTCTCCGGCATACGGGCGTTGGCTGTACCCTTTCTCTTACCTAAAAATCAACCATAAAAATTTTATTTAAAACCTTTATTTGCCATTTTCTTCAAAAAAAAATAAATAAATAAATAAATAAAAAATAAATAAATAAATAAGAAGACAAGCATCAACGTACCGGTTCCCATGTGCCTTCCCTTGCGGCGCGCCAGCGTGTTCTTGCGGCACCGGGCCCTGGAGTGGACCGTGACAGGTTTCCTGATGATAAGACCATCTTTGACCAGTTTACGGATCTGCTGGCCTGAAAAACGAACAAAACATTTAACAAAAAGGAAAACTGGGAAACTAGAAGTGTGAATTAGGATTGCATCAGATTAAAGATCATTCATGACGATCTCCCTTTGAAAACTTATAGTAGATGCTACAAAATGTCAATTAACACATTTTTAAAATGGCTTTCTCAATTTGATTCACAATTCAATAGTTATTTATTAGTTATTTGTTTAACATAAATGCTGCCTCGTTCCTTCTGATTTTACTTGGAGGAAGAGGGTTTTTGAAGCTGCTGGTGGTCTTTTTACTGTCTAACTTTTCCATTTCACACTTGTTTGTGTGAAAGCAGCTTGATAAATTTGACTGGCAGCCAATCAGAAAGATGACCATGATGAGACAAGTAAATAACATTTCAATAAATTATTTTAACTCATATTTTCTAATAATGTTTGAAAAACAGATTAGATTTTATGGTTAAAAAATATATATATATTTTTTTACTTTTTTCCCCCCATACCACACTTAAAGCATTATGAAGATCCTTTAGCCCCCCCTAGTGGCCACCACTTTGAAAAACACTGAGCAGAGGTTAACTGTAGTTTGTGAATTACCTCAGTTTTTGTAACTCAATACCAAAGACAGTGCAACATCCTCCTACATTAAATAAATGCAAGAAAACATTTGAACTCAATCAGAGCTGAATCGATTTCTTGCATAATTTGTGTCACTTCCGCCAACTCCTGCGAAGTTGACATGTGTATGTATGGTAGGTGCTATTTTTAGCTATGGAAGGACAGAGAGAACCAAATCAAATCACCCAGAAAATGACAGAAACAGTCAAAAATGTGGACACATTTTAAATTAAACAGGAAAAACATTGTGCAGAACTAGCTTTCCACAAAAGCGTGTGACTGATGTTGCAGCAACCAAACAGAAAACATCCTCTGTATACATCAAACTTGTCTGCAGTGTCCGATGGACATTATTCATGTTCGCTTTGTGAAATACATGAACCTAAATGTGTGATGATCTGTCATGCTGCAGATTTACAAGATGGTATCTTCCGGTTGCATGTAACAACTGATTGTAGTGGCTACCTGGCAGGATATTAGGTAACAGTTTAAGTTTTTACAAAAAAATAACTATGCAGCTCTTACTGTAAGAGCAACAGAAGAGATTAAGCATTTATTTGTTGCTATGCTTCTGTCTCAACTTAAATGAGATGCTTTGAGGGAATATTTAAATTATTTATAATAGTTGGAATTAAATATGTCACACATCAGAGTTGAAACTGAAATGGAGGTTTGCATTTTAAGCAATAAAAGGTTATTTAAAAAGAACAATTAGATGGGTTGTTTACTTGAATGCTCCGTTATGTATATTTTTAAGTAGGTTTTTTTTTTTTTTTTTAAATTCGACTCTATGTAGGATTACACAATTAATCACCAGAATAATCGATAAAATATTCAATTACTAAAATAATTATTGGCTGGAGCTGCTATTTTCACTCCAGTAGCTTAACTAGAGAATCCTGATTTAATTGTTCCCTAAAGCAGCTTTTTTTCACAATATTGTAGGTCACAGTTTGGAGAATTTCCAAGGCTAAAGTAAAGTTAAAACTAATTTCTTTCATTCCCAGTAACGACAAACACAGGGCCCATCACTGATGACTTGGTAAAACTAAACTCAGATTTTAGCTTAACCAAGCTAATGATTTGTTAATGTTTAACTGTCTCCATATCAAAGATAATCTGATTTGATATGCGAGTACATGCCCGGACAAGTTCAGACACAATAATAAAGAAAGTAAAATTATTTAATTTCTGGGCATGACCTTTTGGTTATACTTTAAAATATTTCAAGCAGAATGTTGTTTTCAAGCTTAATGATTTGGACTTTCTGGCAGGATTTACAGCAACAAATCAATCTTGATTGTAAGAAGAAAGAAGCGCAAAAACATTGATGACAAGATCATGATATTTTTGAGAAAGTTTGGATTTGGACAACACTTGAATCTCAGTTTTTAAAAACCTAACCCCCTCTTATTTTCAAATTGACATCCACGATTATGGCATCACATTTTTTCATGGGCAAACGGTGAACTAACTAACTAAGCTCAACAATTAGCTCAGAAGCTGCTGGAAAGCTTTGCAGAAACATTTATTGGCAAAGACTGAGCACAAACGAGGATTTTGACTTCAGTTTTCAAGCGCAGCATAACGACAAATATACAAAATTGAGAGGAATAAATTAAGGACAATGGAACAGTACACGCATTTTGAGCCATTTGCAACCAAGATATAATAAAAAGACAAGGATTAATGCAACTGCAAAATTGCTTCTTAAGAATCAGACAGAAAAGAAGATTAAAAAATAAATTACGGGAGTTGGCGTTAGCGATCTCATTTGTCTCGTTGGGATCTAGCCAGACTTTCTTCTTTCCGCAGCGAAGGACGCTGGAGGCCAGCCTCTTCTGGAGCCTGAGCATGCTGAAACAATAAAACACGGGTTCAGAAGATCATAACTACAGTAGGAATATTTCTCCATGTGTATTTATCTATCATTTCAACAATAGCACCAGATGCTAGCCACACAGCTAACTCCCAACTACCCGGTGGCTAGCAGGCTGCCAACATGGCCTCCCTGTCGCTACATCGTGTTGCATTAAAACACGTAAATATGTCAAATATAAGCCTGGAATGATGACTGAAACATAAATATGTGTCGAGAACAAACTTGGATTTCTTATTTTTGCCAATACGATGTCTATGGGTGTATTTACATAGTTAAATTGTGACTTTTATCAGGCTAACAGCAGCGGTCCTACCTCATGGCTGCTACTTCAGTAGAAAAAGGAAGGCTTGCGAGGCAGACCGGAAGATACCATTTTCAGAGGAGCGTCCATTTGTTATCATGAAGCAACTTCGTTTTAATCAAAGTAAAACTCAGCTGTTACCACTACACAGATTTTAAAGCTCATAAATTATATATCTAAAGATCAAGTACATGTAAATATGAATAAAATAAAGCAACGTTAAAAATTGTGTTTAACTGGCGACCCCCCTCCTTGTCTCATCAAAATATTGGTACGAACCGATGCGTTCGCAATGCATTATGGGTCACTCTGTACCACCTATGTATTCTTCTGTATGAACACCAGAGGGCGCCATTGAAACAAGAATCAACAAGTATATTTACACGGATAGATACTATAAATATGTTCTATTTTTGAGATCATAGGAAAAAGAAAAGACTAATTGCTAATAATATGTGGTGAACATTACAGTTTAATTTGTGTTCTTACTTTTTAACCATTAAATGGCAAAAAAAAAAATCCACATTCTAATGTTTTGCCACTATTTGCTCAAATATGTAATTTTTTTTTTTTTAAATGCAACATTTGGTTTATTATTTCATATTTATGAAAATTTATTTTCTAAAACAGACATATTGGCTTTAAAAATGATCATGCGTTAAGCATCTGTAAAAGCAAATGACCAAAAAGTCTCAGTTTGGACTGGTGCACTGTAAGATTTACTCTTTAATTCTTAGAATACAATTAATAAATAAGCAAATTGCATTACAGTAAATTGCTGACTTACAAGGCCACATTTAAGTCTAAAATACTAAAATATGCAGAAAATATTAAGCTATTCAGAGCATTTGAAGAGAGAAAAAAAATATCTTTTATTTTTTAAGTGTCATCCATTAAGAGGAGGAAGTGAGAACAGTGTGTTGGTGTAGCGGGTGGGTACTTAGAAAGACTCTTGTAAAAATAGCCAACTGATACAGCACAATTTGACTAGCTATCATTCCGTCCTCGACCTTCTGGAGCACCATCCCGTCACTGCATGGAGGCTGCAGGCTTACAGTGTGGGTGCATAAGGACCTCTCTGTGACGTCTTCACCTCCTGCAACTCAGAGAGCAGCGAATGAAACTTTACAGAGGATTCATCAGCAATGTCCAATGCAGCAGAAAAACACAACCAGGAAGCTTTAAAATGGTTGTGGTGCATCCGATTTTAAAATCAGCACTTCAAGGTCACATTTAGTCCCCATTAATGATGTGGAATACAGTTAACTGATTCACATTTTTGCAACATTTAGTTAATAAAAAAAGGAATTTTATTTCTCTGAATTTTGATAATACGACCAAAATTAGAGCAAAAATCAGCTTATATATTTTATTTCTACTATCAGAAACTGATCAATTTCATGCTTAATAACCAGAAATCTAATTTGATCCCACATTAATTGAAATTAATCCAATTCAGTGCACTCCAGCTCAGAAATATAATAAGACCTATGTCTAGTTTTGGAAGGTCGCACTATTTCAAGCAAAAGTAAAAAGTAGCCTTACAAGGAATTGCTCAAGAACAAAAAAAAAAGTCTTTGTTATAACGACTGTTTTCTTTCTTTTTTTTTTTTTTAAATACTTAGGCTGCTTTTAGAAGAAGTTAAACCCAAATATTAATTCTGCATAATACGTTCACTTCAAAAAGAAAAATGTACTGTAAACAAAGTTGTAGTAAGATATAAATAGCATGATTTAAAGAATTGCTAACTACATACTTGGTTCGTACCAAATACATGGAAATGACCTGCAATCTGGAGCAGCCCACGAGCAAAAATCAAAATTGTTAAATTATTAAAATTCACAGAACCTTCTAAGAAGAATATTAACAAACTACCAGAAATGTCATTTTGAACTTTGTTTCTCTTTCCCCAGCAGCCTGGACAGCAAAGCCACAGGAAGCCACTGAGATATCCGCCTCCAAATCCACTTTAAAAGGATTTGTTGATTCTTTTAAAAAGAGGAAAATTGGTTTTAAGCTTCCTCCCACCAGCTCACCGGACACACAATCTGCAGAAGCAGAAGATATAACGTTGTGGGTGTTCGGTCCATCAGCTCTGATACCGACTGCATGAAGGAAAAGTGTCTCTATCACACAGATTTTTATCTTAATACTGTTATGTGGGCAGAGTATTAGTCTCCAGAAACAGTCTCATTTATAGGTGTTCATCGTTGTTAGAGTATGCAGCAGATTGATTACTGTTAAACAGCTTTGTGGTTGTACTATTAAATTTTTATGAGTTTTTCCTCAATTTCAAAATGCATATTTGTCACAAAGTGGCTTTTATAAGTGTAATATTGCAAACAATTCATTTTTTTTCAGCTTTGCATCTTGATGTGACATTATTCTCTCATCAAAAACCTACATGGAGTCTTGCATTGATTCTTTCATGCATGCTTGAGAAATCCTTGAATCTCCACGGCAACCATTCAGCTGTGCAAAATTTCTGCGTGGACTTAGCTTCTGCCTTCAGAGCATTTCCCAACTAAGCTCCTTCAGACTAGCCAGCAGCAAATAGCAGACACCACGTAGAACTTCGCATCTCATTATATGAACTACTGAATGTTGTTAAAGGGTTAATAGAAGAGGGCAGCTTTGATGACTTTCTGAAAAAGCAGCAGTTTTTAAAGAGACAGAGGCCCAGTTTCAAGGCATTAAATTACAAAGTTAAATTCCTTTAAAATCATATTTGACATATTTAGCAACTGAAGCTAATATAGTTACTTTACTGGTACTATGTGCTTGGAAAATACATGATATCACTGACCCTTTAAAGATAGACAGAAAAAAAAACAGAGACGTGTTGGAAATAAACATTGTTGATAAATAGAAATCAAAAATGAACATCGCAAAATACTTCCTGATGTCGGACTCTTGTCGACTGATGTCATAATTTGTAATATCTGCGTGGAAAATATGTTTTAAGATTATTAAAAACTGCTCACTTCACGGCGCTTTAATGATTTCTTTTGTCATGTGAGGTCAGCATCAGGTCATCCGTGTCCCTGGAGAGAACAATGTGCTCAGTGTAAAACCACACGTTTGTTTCTTCAGATCATAATGTCTCCCTGCTCTACTTCATAAACTAAAGGAGAAGACGAACATTTTCTGCATCTCTGCATCATTACAGCCCTGCAGGACCTCTTGTCTGTGGATTTGTGTGGCCTGGCCTTCATTACACGGAGCTCTGCTGCTCGCTCATCATTCACTCAGTGAAGGTGGAGTCATTTCATCGGGGCGTGGACCTCAGCCTCCAGCTGGAGTCTGTTGATCTCTCACAAGCAGCACAAACCTTGTAAAAGCGGACAAAAACACAGAAACACGCCGGTATAGCTGGAGCATGCGTCCTTCAAAATAAAAGCCTTTGGGCTTACCTTAATAATGTGGGAATAAAAACATTACAGGAAAAAGTGTATTTCACTGTATATGGCTTTATTTATGTAGCACAGCTTGTTGCTACAGGACGTTAGACAAGTTTTAAGCTCCAAAGAAATAATTCTGAAATCTCGTGATACTTTTTTTCTTTATGGCAACCAGTTTAGCGATTTAATTCAATGTTGTTGAATAATCCGTCTTCTAGTACATTTTTTTCAGATTGTGTTACTAATTTAGCTACGTGCTTTTTATTATTCTAATACAGTTTGTTCAAAACATCAAAACGTCAAATGTATGCAGAGTTTATTAAGGAAAATATGGAAAATTACTTCTTTGTTTTTCTATATCTGCGACAGACTGGCGACCTGTCCAGGGTGACCCTGCCTGTCCAGGGTGAACGTTAGCTGGAGGCAGCAGCAACCCTCCCGACCCCATTAAGGGTGTAAAGAAAATGGATGGATGAATGTTTTTCTATATTTATATTATATGTGGATCTGAAATTCACTATAAATATTATTTTAAACATTTTAAAACATGGAAAATATTTGGGATACGACTGTTTGGATTTATTTTGGATTTATTTGTTCATTTATTTCGTTTTTTATTGTTCTTTTTGTAAGGAGTGAATAGTGAACAGAACACCAAACATTACAGAACAAGAGTTTTATTTAATTAATTAATTTTTTATTACTATTATTAATCTAACATTTTCTGAAATTTTCTAGATAACTTTCGATTTCTTGTTT